CGGCGAGCGAGGCTGCGCGCCCCGACGGGCTGCGCCCCCCGCCCCGACGGGCTGCGCCCCCCGCCAGACAAAGCCGCCCCCCGCGCCTGGGCGGACCCCCGGCCCCGGGGGTGGAGACGGTAAAAAGCAGCCTCGGAGCCCGGTTTGGGGTCCGGTGGCGGATTCCGACCGGGAGCTGCGGTGCTTGTGACGTGATGTGACACCGAGCACGTTGTCGCCCCAACGAAGCTGGGTTTTCTCCCCCCCCCGCCTCCCCCGCGATGAAATACTGACGCCGTGTCGGCACCACTTGTGTGTAGGGATGTGGCACCCCAGGACGGGCCACGGGGCTCTGCCGCAAGGGTCCCCTTCGGGAAGGGAGCGAGAGCCACGGGGAGACGGCAGCCACACCGTGACACCGACAGCAGCGCCGGGCAGCGGGCCACGAGCCCCGGGAGCACAGCGTGCCCTGAGCATCCTCGAGCGAGGACGTGCCTCAGCTCCTCGGCCGTGCCCACGCTCAGCGCACCCAGAGACCTGTGCAATCCTCGGGAGGGGCAGGGTGGCAGCCGCACAGCTCTCCCTCCTTCCCTCCCTCCCTCCCTGCTGCACCAGTGGCACACACCACAGCCAGCGCAGGGCCCGGCGTCTTCAGCTAAAACAACAAACGCGGCCGGCATTAGTACAAAGATACCCTTGGGGTAAAGCAGCGCAAATGTAATCTAAGGAGAACGTTATGGGGAAGTGTGTTTATAATTATAATGGGATTTAATGTACTTTGGGACCAGATGATAGCAGTCGTTTAACGAGAACAGCCTAATAACAGAGGCCTCGCGATGCGCGGCGGCGCTGCGCGGGTTATTAGACGCGTGTGATAACGCCGAGCTCGCCGTGCCATAGTTAAGGGTAAGGCATCAGCTTACTCCTGTTTTTTCGGGGGTTATAACTCTGCCGCTGTAATTGGCAGAGAGCAGGGATGCACCGTGCAGGCAGCCAGCGTGCCTGCAGGATGGGGGGTTTTAATTGTCTCAAACTGCTTCAGTTCCTCCCTCTTCCAGGCTCTAAAATCCAAACAGCTGAGAGGGGGAAATAGTGAGACACTCTGGTTTCAGGTGTTTGTTTACTCTTCTCTAACTTTTAAAAGGCTCGATTTCAGGACTGAAATTTTGCAGGCAGTTAGGGGTATGTTTTTAGCGTAGCTCGCATGAAATTAAGCTGCATGAGTCCCATTAGCAATAATGGAAATCCCACGGCTAAATTCCCAGGCAGCATCCTGAAAATTAACCCCCCAGTCCTTCCTGTCAACTGGTGCATTGCACTTTTTGTTGCTCCTCTAATACATATAGTAAAAGCTAGTGAATTGTTTAAGACGCCAATTTCCCACAGCCGCTGTTTGCTGAAGGCAGAGACCAGCTTGGTGACCCTGAGCAGGGACACCCCACATACCCCGGCCGTGGGGCTGCCCAGCACCTGCAGGCCACAGGTGAGGCCCGGCTTGGAAAGCTCCAGCCATGGCATTGAGGGTCATTTCCCCATGGCCTGGCATGGGAGTCAATCCCTCGTCACTCCTCCCCGGTACCTTCCATTTCCCTCCCATCTCTCCCCATCAGTTTCCAATTTATTTACTTTTCTGATCTTAATCCCCACCTTGTAGTGTAACGTGTTTATTAGAAAGGCACCAGCAGCTAAATGAAGCCAAGCTGGGCTCCGTGTTAAGTAGCAGTCACGCCCAAGTGCCTCTCCATGTGCCATTACTCCGAGTGATTGAGGCAATTTCTTCCTCCGCCACGAGTTTCACTTGTAAATCTCTCAACCAGATACGGTGCAATGATGTGCTGCCTGGTGCGATTATTATTAACCTCAGCATTAAACCCCTGAGCCGCTGGCTCCTCAGGAAGGGCTTTCTGTGTGAGGGCCAGGTGAAGCATGGACATCCTTCCCAGGAAAATGAGGGATCCACTTCCAGCCCTCAGCCCTATCAGTTACTTGGACAGGGAGACACGAATGTTTGCTTCGCCAGTGGAAATATCCTGGCCAGCAGCACCAGGTCTGGGGAAGACGAGGACTGGGCAATGCAGCAGCCTGTATTTTGAGGGATGATGGCATCTTGGGATGCTTCCCCAAGAGGCAGCTAGTGTGTGGAGAGGAGAGTGAAACCAAGCAGTCACCACAATTACACTAAGGAAGGAAATTCCTTGTTCAGGATGCTTAGTGCACAAAAAACATCCCGGAAGACAACTTCAGCCAGAAGGTGCCCCAGCATCACCCACCCTGTATGAATGGAACGGGAAGAGGAGCAGCTCCTCTCCACCATGCCCACACCAACAGCTTCTTCCACTCTCTGCAGACAAAAGCCCTTTTCCACCACACACTCCTCCAGTGCTGTTAGACACATAATCTCCCCATGCCACCCCAGACAGGCATGCGAGGACACAGCTCCGACTTCTCTGCCTTGCTAGGCCCTGACTGCAGGGCCCTGACTGCAGCTGTGCCCACGCCAGCTCTGCCCCTGACCTGTTCTTCCTGCTCCTGCAGAGAACCTACAGGGTGGGGGACAGGCACATTCCCATGTTTTCCAAGCTGTGTTTTGCTTTTGATGTATTTGGAGTTTTCCTGTATACTGAGTTTTCCAGAGCTGCTGTTGCAGAGCTGAATTACGAAACATTGGAGCAAAGATGCTGTGCAAAATAAGATCCGTTTCAAATTCAGTGAAAAATCCATAACTTTCAAAAACTGATTTTGATCTCACCCCGGACCCCGCGGGAAGTTCACAGCTCCTGAGCACGCTCCCAGGAGCAGGATTTCCCCAGGCGTATCTGCTTTGCTGGGAGCCGGGGCAGAGCGCGCTGCTCTGCTTTGGCGCGCGGCAAGCTGACAGCTTATGAAAAGATGATTAAATGTGTTAGACTTTATTTAAGGAAAAAAAAAAAAGCCTAAATGCACAAAGCTGTTTGCAAGGGGGAGGGCGGAAGCCCCGGGAAAGCTGCTCAGTGTGCAGCCACGGTGCATTAAGCTTCCTGTGAACCCCAGTGATGAGCAGCAGCGAGCGCGCGGACACCGGCCCCGCGCGCGTCGTGGCAGCCCGGGGCAGTGGAGGGGCCAGAACAGGCCCCTCATTGTGCCCTGCCTGCTGCACCAGGGGAACCTGAGAGTCACACCGAGGATGAAAGAGGATGGGGGGCTGTGGGTTATCCACATTGCAGTTGATCCCAATGGAAGTTATTTTCGGAGCTCAGCCGTAGCCAGCCCAGTGGAGCTGCAGAGGAGCTGCCCGCTGTTGTGGGAAAGGAGAACTGCACAGCCTGGTACTGGGACAGAGCTGACTGGACTGTCACGCTGCAGAAAGCCTTGTCTGCCCTTCCCCACACGGCTGCCAGCCTCCCGGCCCTGCTGGATGCGGGATGCACGCCACAGAGGCAGGGCAGCAGCGGCGAGGATCGGCGTGTCACCGCCGCGTGAGCGGGCAGCCAGCGTGCCACTGCACGCATCACACATCCACACAGCTCCCAGCGAGGCCACTGCACCCTGTGCACCAAACCCTGCCTGCTCCCGAGCCCTGCTCCGAGGCACAGCTTCGGTCACAGGCAGGCATGGTGGAATCGGTGCCACCCAGGGAAGGAGGGGATCAGTGTCCCTTGGGACTGCTGAGAGGTGGCTTGAGACGCGCAGAACACAGCGGCCAGGAGATACAGCTCGTGGGTTTCCAGGAGCTTTGTCCCTCCATCCTCCCCCTCGCCTGTGCTGGGTTATGGATGCTGCAGCCCTAAGACAATGAGGCTAATTAGTGGCTTAGGGCCCTGAGCCTGCCAGGGCGGGAGGATGAGCTGAGCGGTGACTCAGGAGGGCGGCAGCCCGGGCCAGCCTTCCCACATTCCTCCCCTAAATCCCCCACACAAAAGGGAATTTAGCCACAGTGACTCAGCGAAGGAGCACAAACTTTACAGCCGGCCTTCGAGTGCCTGTTTGTGTATTCCCCCCCAGCAACGCGCTGCTGGGCTTGTAATTAAATAAAATGTCTCCCTCTAGCAGGCTGTGACCCAACCATCAGCACAGCGCCTATTTTTAGTGTTACCCTCGGTACGTATTCCAGAGAGCTCCAGCCACAGGTAGCAACTTATGAAGCCCTAATAAGTGGGAGGGGGGGTGGCCTTGTTTAATTTACTGTGTAATTATTTTTTCTCTTTTTCTCTTCTCTTAACCTGCCATACTTGATGTCTTGCACGGGACAAGGAAAGAAATGTGCCGAGGCATTAAATGTCAGCCCCGACTTCATGGTGCTGTGGAGGCTACGTGTGTGTTCAGTAAAGTTCATCCCAGAAAAAAGTCCTTTAAATAGAGCAGAATCTACACCAGCACCTCAGCAAAACACTTCTGGGGGGTTTCTGCCTCTCAAAACAGGGGACACTGTTTGTGTGCCAGTTTCATCCTGTGACAGATACTGATTGTGTGCCAGTTTCATCCTGCTTTTCCCCCTCCTTTGGGTTTGATTCTCAGGAAGGACACAGCACTGGGGAAGGAGATGTTCTCAGTCTGTCCAGACACCATTCATGCTGGTTCGTCCCCTCAGGAGTGGGGTACAGGGCTGCACCTCCACCCAGGGCTGTTCCTTCTCCAGTAGGATCACATCCAGGTTTAGACACTACGAAGAATTCCAGGTGAGTTAAATACTCATTGCATGCTCTTCTGAGCACAGGATCAACAATTGAAACTCCTTTCCTTTAACAGGATGGTTTCCAAGAGCCCTTGAATGGCCAAAAAGTCATCCAGGACCACAAGCAGCACCCTCCGTCTCGCTGGAAGCAGCCAGGTTCTGTGCCCTCATGATGCTCAAGTCCTTTGACTGGAGGGAGCAAGCCACATCCTGAGTCCCAGTGACTCAGGGAGCACCTCCAGCCCTCGTTCCATCTTTCCTCTCTAGCAGCACTCCACGTCCCATTTCCAGCTGCACAACTCTCTGCTCTCCCTTTCCAGGGGAGAGGATATTTATATGTATTTATGTGCTCTGTGTGTGCACAGTGAACACGTTACTGCTTCTGACAGGACAAACAAAAGCCCACACTCATGGAAGACTTCCCCCCCTCCTTTCCCTGCTCTTAACATATCTCTGCATTAAATATTCACACAAAATGCCTTCACAGCTGGGGAAACTTCTGCCAAAGGAGCTCCTCCTCCTCCTCCCCTTTCTTGCACCAGGACAAAAAGATCGAGTGGCTGCATCACACATGGCACAGACCTCATTTCTGAGATGCTCGAGCTGCATAATGATGGTATTTTAGGCTCAGATTAAATTCCTGTTCATCTCTTCCATCATTCCTAACAGCCCTCTAAACTGTACAACTCCTGAATGTACAAGAGAGGCAGAACGAAGTCTGAGGCTAAATGTTTTGGTCTAGGTTCAAGGTTAGATATTAACTGATTTTATTTTCTTAATAATTGCCAGAAGATACAATAAAGCCCTGGTATCTTATCTGGTCATAGATTCCTCGGTGACCGAATCAGATAACATTGGTGCAGCAAGGCAGCTCACAATCTGCCCTTTCAGGGGGGATATTGATGAATCCTCCGCAGAGGTCATGAGGAACTGGTGCGCTCCAGCCTGGCCACAGCACCCGCAGCCATGGCCAGCAGTGCCACGGGCAGGTTTCACATTCCTGGGCGGTGGGGCCGGGCTGGCAGCAGAGGCTCCGGTGCCCTTGGACCCTGCAGCGTTCATGCTGGAGGGAGCTTGGCAGGGCCCCCCTTCGGCCAGGGCACATTCCTAGCTGGAACAGCTCGATCAGCCTCCCAGGAATGAAAGTAAACACTCCTGCTAAGTCATTCCTGGATAAGACCTATCTGCCCAGGGCCAGAGGCTCCACGTGTCCCTGCCAGCGGCCAGGGATGCAGCGGGGGGAGGCAGCAGAGTGTGTGACACGGCTGTCACCGGGGCTGCAGCTGCTGCCACCACCCCCAGCTCCTCCCCAGGTAGGAACTCCCTTTGAACCCAGTCCCTTCTTTCTCAGGTGCTGCATCCTCTGGTTGGGAAATGCCAGTTCCGCCACAGATGGACCAGAATTCCATTTCTCTCTGCTGTTTGGAAAGCAGCCCTCCATTCACAAGGAATTCCCCCCTGAAAGGTTTGGTGTTGGAGCACTGGCATCGCTGTGCTACCCACAAAACTGGCTGTGGCATCCCCAGATGGCCAAGGGTCCTCTGCAGAGGGACTGACAGGGCAGGCGGGGAGCAGAACTGCTTGGGGAGGGGGGGTCAGATGTTCCAGCCCAGGGGCTTTTGAGGGGGCACGTTTTGGAATATCTCCACAAGAGACATGAAGGGGAAAAAACCGAATCATGTCTCATGAAACAGCTGAAAGGAGGACATGGAACAGTGAGAACTCAAAGGTACTGATGGCAGAGGAGCTGCAGATTCTGGAGGGAGGCACTGAGGCCAGCAGAAGGGGATGGGTGTCACAGCCACTGTGGCAGGACCCGGCTTCATCTGTGGCCACCCAATGGAGCATTCCTGTTCTCAGGACCAGGCTCTGACTGTGTTACAGCGCTGTGTGCCATCCAGTGGGATAAGGAACAAAGCAGAGGGGCTCCCAAAGAAATGGCTGCAAGCCCAGGGGGACGCAGGGCTGCGTGAGCTGGCAGGTAGGACACTTCACCCACACTGCCTGAGAGGTCAGCTGAGGTGATGAGAAATAATCCCAGCTGCCATTAAAGCCTCTGAGTTTCGCAGAAGTGCAGCTCTTTGCCACATCCCTCCCTGGGAAGAGCAGTTCCAGCAGGACACAGGCAGCTCTGGAGTGAGAGAGCAGGGCACAGCGAGGTTGCTCACACAGGCTGAGCGTGGTGCCAGCCAAACACCTCACTGCCACCCCTGCCCGAAGAAAGAGCAGGTGTTCTGTACACCAGAGCATTTTGAAGTGACCATCCCCACGGCACCTATCCAAGAGCTGCCACAGCCTCACCACCAGCTACTCTGGGCAGGAGGGCACCGAGCCCTGGGGGTGCCCTGACCCACCTGATCCCTGGCTGGAAATCAGGTTTCGATCAAATCAAATTTCCTGGCACTGTGCTGCTGCAGATACCTGGGCACAGACCACCAGAGCCCATCTGCAGCAGCCCAGAGCCATTCCCCAGCTCACATGCTGGAAGAGTTGTCTTCCTGCAAATCAGAAAGCTCAGAATTCCCCACCCAGGAATGAGTTGTCTTCCTGCAAATCAGAAAGCTCACCCAGGAACCAACAAAGAGCAGGATCCAGGAAACAACCTCACCTAGGCACCAAGCGAGCATTGCCTAGGAAAATTGGCAGCAGTGCTACTTGTGCCTGAAACTTGTCTTCCATTTCTGGAAATTCAGAGGTTGTCAAGGAATACTGTAACAGGATCACAAAGTCTGATTTAATCTGTGCTTTCAGTACTACTGTGATTTAAGTTGCACTTTGCCAAAATCACCCTTGGGTGTGTTTATTCTAGGAGAATGCACTCACAGAACAGGAATGGAGAAGTACCTTTTCCTTGCTGGCCACACAGAACCCAAGAGGAGACAGTCGGAGTCCCTGTGACCTGAAATGCTGTCCCTGGCTCTTGTAATCCTAATCCTGCTGAAAATAGGAACCGAGTGTGGCGTACCCAGCGCAGCGCTCACAGCCTGGGCTCTAACAGGTCCTGATCTCCTCCCAGGAGCACTAAACTAACTGCAGCTAGGGTTTTCCCCTTTTCAGGGTCAGAATGCCTAACTTGATGCTGTCACTGGGGTCCCAACGAGCTGTTTCTGCTGGAAGCTCCCCACACACAGAGCCACGCACACACTCTCTCTCTGCAGAGCAGCGATCAATGCACGCCGGGTGCCTCGGTGCAGTGCCCAGTGCTGAAGTTTGGGCAGGAGCAAGGCATGGTGCTGGATAATTAATCCCGTCCCCAGGAGCTGCGTGCACCAAAGAGCTGGTGCCATCAGAGGAAATAAAAGTCAAGAGGCACAAATGCAGCACGATTAGATGGAGGTGGGTCCTTCCTGGCGGCGCTCGGAGGGAGCGAGGGGAAGGAAAGGAGATGAGTGAGCACGCTGCCTGCTGCAAATATTGACAGAACCATTATGGGCATGTATAAAACTCCCATTTGCGTGATGCAAGCGGGATAGTCTTTGAATACTTCTGTCTCGAGGAATTCTTTATTTTGCCATAGAAGAAAAATGTTTTCATATTCTCTCCTGCCGTGCAGACCTGCAGCCCGGCGAGCCCTTTTGCCCTTGAGAGCCATAACATTATTTGTTAACATCTTTATGATGCCAAATGGTCTGTGCTAGAACGGGTGCCATTCTTTAGCTGGGAAACCATATGGCATGCCGAGTAATAAATAAGGTATTGTGATAGTTAATGAACCTAATTGCCAGCAAAGGCTTTAATACAGGGAATGTGCTGCTGAGAATTTAGCACCACATTAGAGATGCAGCAGAGCTCCTCTGACTTCTGAGGCTTAATTTAAGTTCTATATTGCAAACTCCAGAAAATAATTCCAAACCCTCCTGCTGGAAAAGCAACCTGCTGGTAGACTGTGATTATACTGAATTACTAAAATCGCAATCAATTTTATACACTCTGTTAACCCTTGCTGGGGAACTCGGCTCTCCAGGAGTGCAGGGGATGCCACTCCAAAGAGGTACCCGAGCCAAGTGAGTTGGAGCATCATGGTTATCACCCTCACCATGACTGGTCCTCTCCCCTGGCATCTCCCTCTTCTGGGAAACAACCTTTCCCTGGCCCATCTGCCTGCCAGCTAAGCTGACTGTGGGCAAAGCTGGGAACAAAAGTCACAACTGTGAATGGTCACCACTGTTCCTCCGTGACCAACCAAAGAACTGCTGCTCCTGTGTCATGGTGACACAGCATGGCAGAAAGTGCTGCTGCTGCTGCCACTGCCTCGTGGCTCCCAGGAAATGCTCCTGTGGGCAGAGCAGACCTGAAAACACAGTTAAACTTGTGTTCAACTCAGCCCTCAGAGCGGGGAGAGCTCTTCTGGCCTAACAGAATCCTTGGCACTGCTGCAGACTGTGAGTGTGACCACAAGGGCCCCTTCAGTCCAGAGCACCCTGGGATCACCTGCAGAGATGCCAAGATGCCTCCCGTGCATCCAGGGGTGGAGAGGCCACTGGTCCCTCCTGGGGTCTTTTAGAGCAGCAAGCAGGGAAGGCCAACACCAAGAATTCCCTGTCAGGCTGCTCTGCAGCACGCAGAAGTCCTCAGAAACACAAGGAGGGTATACTGGTGCTGGAGGGCTATTTTCAAAGCCTGCAGCAATCCCAGCTGCAAACACAGACCTGCTGCCCCATGGAGGAAGGATGTGCCTTGCCACGGGTCAGAGCTGTGCTGCAGCACCTTCTCTGAGGGCTGCTCCAAGCGCTCATCAGCACTGGAAACCTTTCAGACTCTGCACACCATGCCCTGAAGCAGCCTATTTCTGCAGGAAAAGCTGCCCCTTTCTAGGGACCCATCCTTCCCCAGAGCCCAGCGGCTGCACGGGGAGAGAGCGCTTGGAGAGAGCAGCGCTGCTCCCCGAGGTTATTGGGAGCTTATTGGCTCCTTCCCTCTCTGATTGCGCTCGGCTGCCCTGCAGTCACGTCCTCCCGCTGCCGGCGGCCAGCCCGGCCCTGCCAGCAGCCACATCCCGCTGGAAGCGCCGGCCGGGGAGGACAGGAAGGCTCCCTGGTGGGGCTGCCCCTCTCCATCCCTTCCCACTGGCTGCAGCTGGTCCTCGGCCGCCTGCAGACCTCTCCTGGCTCCGTGGTGCCAGGGGGCACAGGGAGTCAGGGCAGGGGGTGGCAGGGCACGGTGGCAGCACAGAATGGGCAGAGAGGCGAGATAAAGAGCGGCGCAGGGCGGATTTAATACTGTACATAAATACACTTTACAATCTGGAGAAGGCTCAGTGCTAAGAGGAAGCCATTGGAATATTTTATCGTGATGCAGATCGAGTGAAAAGACTGTGAATAAATAAAAGGGAAGATAATTATTTGATGGAGTTCTCTTAGGATATGCCACAGCGGGGAATACTTACAGAGAATACATATTACTAGAGAGACTCAGCTATTCAAGCATCAAACCAACCTATAAATTGTCAGAGGAGAAAATTGGAGGAGAGGAATGGATGGGGGTTTGGGCACCGGTCTCATCAGTAACGCCGGGTTGTGCTTTCCACCTTCCCCGTCGCAATTCCCCCTGCCCGAGGAGTCGCAGCCCTGAGAAAGGGAAGGCTGCCTCCAATAAATGTCTGTCAGGAATTACGGCCGAGGCACTACAGTACGGAGATGGTGTCGTTTATCTCCCCACCATCTGCACGGGCCGGGGCGCAGCCGCTGCTCCCGGGGAGCCTCGCCTCTCCCGGCCCTCTGCGGGGCGAGGAGGCTCCTCAGCAGAGCCCAGAGCCATCCTGAACCACCACGTTTGTCCTGAACCAGCCTCCCCAGGCACCACGCTCCTGTCTGAGCACATCCTGCAGGGCTGGCATTCACCTCGCCCCCGTTTCGGAGGGAACCCTGCACGGGAAGGGATTCCCGGCTCCGGGACCAGGCTGCTCCATCCCCACCGGCATTTCCAGACCCTTTTCCCCTGAGCTGACAGACAGCTGCCCAATCCCAAGCCCTGCCACGCTGGCATCCCTCGGCCTCACTTCTCGCCCACTCCCAAGCCAAGGCTCTCCAGGAAAAGCACTGACGGTGCTGCGCGCTCTGGCAGCGCTGCTCGGAGCCATCCTCCCCGTTTCCCTGAGGTCAGAGTGCTTCCTAGAGGCGAGAGAGAGCCCGGCACAGCTCGCACCAGCCCTGCTGCCCTTCCTCCCGGAGCCGGATCACAATCCCTCGGGAATTCCATAAAGATGGCACAGACAAAGCCGAAACCGTGCTGATACAGGGTCCGTGGACCATAGCTGCTGTACATCTTGTTTAATTTGGTACCACTCCTGCACTTTTCTCTTTTCCCCCACTATTCTTGGCCCTGTTCCCTACGAAAGCGCCCCCACAGCCGTGCACAGGGCCAGCCCTCCCTCCTGGAGGCGGGTGGCACAGGAGTGAGTACCTGGAGGGAGCCGGGGAGTGCCCCACTCCCAGCATCTCCCCTGCCCCACGCCTGGCACCCGGACCAGGTCTGTGCGAGTGCAAACAGTTCACACCCGTTCCTGGAGCCTAGTCCATTAGCTCTGAACATCTCCCGACTCTCTGGGACTGAAGGAAACCTTCGGTTCCTGGATGGGGATGATGTAAGCGACAGCCTGCGGTTCAAAGAGGCAGCCTCAGGTAATTAGCAGAGGTGCTCGTTATTTTAAGCGAGGCTTGCCACCGCTTCCAGAGCCCCGAGCTGGAGCAAAGCCGGTCTGCAGCGCGGGCTACCTTTAAGGCTGGCTCAGACAACACAATCAAAGGCAGCCTGACAGCGGCAGGTCTCCCTGCCTGCGCCTGCCAGGAGGGAATTGCTCACTCACCTGCGCCCAGAATAGGACTTTGTCCCTGCTCCCGTCATTAATTTATCGCCTGTGAATTAGTGGGGCCCCAGGGACGCACAGAGCCCACCTGTTCCCTCGCCCGGCTCTGACATTTGGAGCCTCGTCGGCAGGTAAATGGTGCCATAAAGCATCCTCCAACGCGGCGCTGCCAGCCCTGCCCGCCCCGCTGCCTGCCTCCCTCCAGAGCCCGGGGCTGGGGCAGCGCCCGGGGGGACGGACACCGGCACCCAGGGCTGCCATCAGCGGATCTGATTCTTCCCTGGAAAAGCAGCTTTAATGCTCTAGGGGATGAGGCAAAGCACCCCGCTTTCGGTAGCGGGGCAGGGCGCACGCAGGGGGCACGAACTGCAGCCCCCGCCCGGTGCCACCCTTTCAGCACAGGGCATTCTTGCCCCGGGATCGCTCTGTTTGCCCCATTCTGGCCCCCGAACAGATCGGCCCCGAACGCTTTTGTGTTTTCTTCAAAGGGGACACGAGGAGGGCTGTGTAAGGCAAGGGAATTACCGCGCAGCACCCCGGGGGCTGAAAGCTGCGCTCAGCATCCCGCACCTTTCCCAGCCCTTTGTGCCAGGACAGGCCCGGAACAGCGGGCTGGGGTCTGCAGCAGGAACCCCCCTCCTCCCCTTGGGGCCACCAGCAGGGCAGGGGTGCCAGTGCCCTGTGCCCTGCCCCGGCAGGACCAGCAGCACACGGAGCCCTGCTCTCGGTGCCCACCAGCCTGGCTCTGTTCATGGACCCCTGAGCCTGTGGCAGGCACAGCACTCCTCCAAAGTGTCCAAAAAATGGGCAGTAGGGTAAAAGAGCTGCTCAATGTTCCCATGGAAATAAAAACTGCAGCGTGGTTAGAAACAACACACCCATGCCAGACCTAAACCCACAGGAACCTCAGCATCTGACCTCTTTATTTTTTGCTCTTAGTACAGGGGGAGCAGAGAGACTCCTGCAAATCACAGGAAGGGAAAGTTTTTTACAAATAACCTGCAGACCATCCATAGCAGAGGAAACTCCACCTAGGACAGCCTTTGCTCCAAGGCCCCACAGTGGCAGTGCCCAAAGCCCCAGCACGGAGCTCACCCTGAGCTCTCCACAGCCACTTCCACTCCTCCCAGAGCCACAGGGACGTGCAGCTGGGGCTGGCATGCCCTGGGTGAGCGACCTGCTGCTGCCAGAGCTCCCCTACAGAGCTCTGCACCTTCGGGCAGAGCAGAGACAGAGGTTTGGGATGAATCACACCAGGACACGTAGGCAAAGTCCCGTTAATGGAACCACTCCGAGGCACTGCAGCTCCTAGTCAAGTGCTGGAGCTGGAAGCCATATTTATGAGTGAGATATATCCGCAGAGGGAGCAATAAACTGCAAAGCAAAGTATGAAGGTTTGCAGCAAACGCTGTAAAGTTTTACACTCCCGAAAACTGGGAATAAAAGATGTACCCATTTAAAGCAGAGTGGATGGAAAGGGTTTGCACAGGACTATAAAACAGCCTTATAACAGTTAATTGCTGCTTTCTTGTTGCAGCCCAGAGAAAAGAACAGCTTAAATCCCTGTTGAAGAGTGGGAGCACAGAAAGGAGAGTGAGAAGCAGGGAGAGGAGCGCAGGGAATGGGAACCTTTTGTTTGGGATCCCCTAGACCACGCGGAGAAGAGATGCCTTTTGTTCCTGGCACTGGGCTGCTCCTGCTCCCTCTGTGGGCAGAGGGAGCCAGACCCGGCCAGATGTTAATTACACACGTCCTAATGAAGATCCCGTTGATGCCCATGCGACAGAGACTCAGCCAGACATCCGACCTGGGAGGAAAGGGCAGAGCAGTGGCTGGATTCCTCTGACAGGAACACTGAAGTACATTTCTGACCTCAGAAATACAGGGGAAATCTCAAAATGTTTTCTGCAACAACTGAAACAACCCCCACAAAAGCACCAGCACCCTGGTGCCCTCGCAGGACAGCCACCCTCACCACAGCACCTCCCCATGCCAGTGCTCTGCTGCATGAGCTGGCTGCCTCCAAACCTCCCCTGGGACACCAACAGGGGCTGTGCTCATGCAGAGGCCATGTGCAGCTCTCCCAGCAAGCCTTGAGGCTCTGTAAACACCAAAGGACCCCCTCTCCATCTCCCTCTGCCATTAACAATCCCCCAGCTGCTGCACAGGTGAGGGCACGGGGCCAAGGTGCTGCCCCACAGGCTGGCAGAGCTCCCCTCCTCCCTCCCCAGCCTTCTGCAGGTGCTGCTGGTTTTTTTGTGTGTGATTTTCCCTCCCTGCAGCGGCAGATTTTGTGCGATATCCAGGAAAGCAGAGCCGTGCATTCCTCCCTGTAAACACCGAGGTGCTGTTTCCACCCATCAGAGCAGCACTTGGGTGATGACAATGGAGCTCGTGCAGCCCTAATCACACACTCTGATTGAAATAAGAGTACGGGGGGAATGGAAATCAGACGTCTGCAGCCAAGCTCTCATGGAGGTGGGGAGCTGCAGTGTCAGAGCCATCCTGGGCACTGCCACGAGCCCGGGGCTGGCTCTTTGGGCTGTCCCAATCCGGGCCTTCTAGTGCCTGAAGGGAGCCTATTTAGAGTTTCTACTCTTTACAGCCTGGAGTGACAGGGCACGGGACAAAGGCTTCACACTGACAGGGAAGGTTTGGGTCAGGTATTAGGAAGAAATCTTTCCCTGTGAGGGTGGGCAGGCCCTGGTAAAGGTTACCCAGAGAGGCTGTGGCTGCCCCTGGATCCTAGGAAGTGTCCAAGGCCAGGCTGGATGGGGCTTGGAGCAGCCTGGTGTGGTGGAAGGTGTCCCTGCCATGGCAGGCCAATCCCAGGACATCCTACAATTCCGTCATTCCCAGGACCAGGCGGTGCCAGGCTGGCAGTGAGGGCAATCAGCCTTGCCAGCTCGGAGATGCTCTGCCACTCCTGCTCAGAGGCCTCTGGGCGCTGACAGCTTGTGCTTTTATCCCCAGATCATGTCACCCAGTGACAAAATCAGGCTCTGAGGATGGAAAGCTAAGCACTAAAGCTAAGCAAACTCCCCTGTTAGCTTGCCTGGCCAGCCAGGCTCTCGCAGGGCCCCACGTCCCAGCGCTGCAGTAGCAGGGAGCACTGATTGCTGCCTTTGCTGTCAGAAGAAAACCTCTTTCTAGCTGACGTCCTTTTTACGCCTCACGCCCAGCAGAGGTTTGGCAGCGGCAGGTCTGGCTCAGCGAGGGGGTTTGTCAAGCAAACCCACCTCGGATCTGCACCCGCGTTCGTTAGCGCGCCGGCGGTGCCGCAGCTCCGCTGTCACTTCTAACGACGGATCCTCAAAAAAGCGAAGGCCAGTTAGACAGATTTGGAGTCGGTAATGAGCCTAAGAGCGTTTGATCATTTCGGCCCCAGCGGGGCGGGCGGGAGGAGGCCGAGCGGCGGCGGGAGCTGCCGGCCCGGCGGGCGCGGGGCTCTGCTGCCTCTGTGCGGCGAGCGGCTCGCACCGCCCGGGCCTGCCGGGCTGCGGGGCGGCCTGGGCTCCCGGAGCGAGTCACTGCGGGAAACAGGGCACTGCGGTGTGGGAAACAGGCCACTGCGTGAAACAGGCCACTGCAGGAAACAGGCCACTGCGGGAAACAGGGCACCGCGGGAAACAGGCCACTGAGGGAAACAGGCCACTGCGGGAAACAGGGCACTGAGGGAAACAGGCAACTGCGGGAAACAGGCCACTGCGGGAAACAGGTCACTGTGGGAAACAGGTCACTGAGGGAAACAGGCCACTGAGGGAAACAGGGCACTGCGGGAAACAGGGCACTGCGGGAAACAGGGCACTGCAGGAAACAGGCCACTGCGGGAAACAGGGCACTGCGGGAAACAGGCCACTGAGGGAAACAGGGCACTGCGGGAAACAGGCCACTGCGGGAAACAGGTCACTGTGGGAAACAGGTCACTGAGGGAAACAGGCCACCGCGGGAAACAGGGCACTGCGGGAAACTCTAGAGTTGGAACTGGCAAGTGGAACTGGTTGAAGTCTCAGCAATATTTCCAAGCGCCTGCTCGTTAAAACAGGCAGCCAAAGAACGGGCTTTTCCTCCCGAAGCAGGAGTTCCCTGGTTCTCCACTTGTGACACAAACGAGCACAACCCCAGGAGCGTCCCTGAAGCTCCCGACGTGGCTCCTGTTGTCTCAGTGTGCGCTTCCCAAGCCTGGGCTGTGCCAGGCCATGCCTGAGCCCAGCAGCTCCTCCCCTGGCACTGGCACGAGCCACGGTGGCACGGGCACCGCGCGCTGCCAGCCGGGCCCGAGGGGACCAGGCGGGGAAAACACGCAGAGGGAAACAAGGCTCCAGGGAAATTAAGGCAGAGTGGGAGTCCTGGCAAAGCGGGGCAGTAATTCCCTTGCTGAACGAGTGACTGTGTGGAGTTTAACCACACAGATATAAATTCTAGGTGCGGCGGCGAGTAATGGAGTGGAGAGAATGAGCAGCACCCAATTAAGGAGGAAATGGGATCTGCTGCAGCACGAGGGGATCTAATGGAAAACCAGGGCTCAACTGCCCCTCTCAAAAATGTTTCCAGATGGAGAACACCCGTTTCACATCCTGGGGACACCCAGGGGACTGCAGCGGCTGGGAGAGCCGAGGATGCTTCCCAAAGTCCTCGGAGAAGTGGCGTAGCCATGATATTTTCTGAAAAATCTTTTTGCCAGGATTTTCCCCTCCTGAGGAGCTGAGAGCCTCAGGAAAGAAATGTAAACAATAACTGTGTGCTGCTGTGGAATGCAACAGGTGCATCTTCCACTGGTCCGTGTGGATTGTTTTCAATTGGTGACCAACCACAGCCACCTGTGCAGAGGCTGTGAGCAGCCACAGGACTTTGTTATTTGTTTTATTCTGTTCCTGTTCTTCGTAGCCTTCTGATGATCTTTCCTCTGTGTTCTTTTAGTACAGTTTTATTGTAGTATTTTAATATAATATATATCATAATAAATATAATAATATAATAAACCAGCCTTCTGAGAAAACGGAGTCAAGCCTCGCGTCTCCACACGTGAAGAGTTCCCAACACAGTGGAATCCCGGGGAGGCTGGTGCGGGCACAGCCCAGCCCGGACGGGATCCAGCTGGGATCCAGCCGGGATGCAGCCCCGGGGGAGCCCCGTGTCCCACCGCAGAGCCCCCCGCTCCCAAAAACCCACCCGGGGTGATCCTGCCATGATCCCGGCTGAGCACAGCCTCACTGCCACAGCACCGGCGACCGCCTCGGGCAGACGGGCTCATTAACGATTAGTGCTTAATTGCAGCTCATCAGCAGGGCCCGGGGCCCATCCCGCCCGGACCCCGCGCCCGCAGCTGCCGCCGAGACCCGCTGCTGTTCCCATTTTCCTGTTCCTGTTCCGTTCCCAACGCCCCACTCCCGCTCCCATTTTCCCATTCCCATTCCTATTCCCATTTTCCCGGTTCCCGTTCCCATTTTCCCATTTTCCGGGTTCCGTTCCAATTCCCGTTTTCCTGTTCCCATTTTCCCATTCCCATTGCCCCGTTCCCGTTTTCCCGTTCCCATTCCCATTTTCCCGGTTCCATTTTCCCGTTCCCATTTTCCCATTCCCATTCCTGTTCCGTTCCCATTTTCCTGTTCCTATTCCCATTTTCCTATTCCCATTTTCCTGTTCCCATTTTCCTGTTCCCGTTCCTGTTCCGTTCACATTTTCCCATTTTCCCGGTTCCATTCCCATTTTCCCGTTCCCATTTTCCCGTTCCCGTTCCCATTCCCATTTTCCCGTTCCCATTCCCGTTTTCCCGTTCCAATTTGCCGCCGCGGGACAGGGTTCGGCGGGGCGCGCGCGGCCGCTCCCTGCCGGTGCCCGCTCAGCGCCCTCGCCCCCGGCGCCAGGCGGGCCCCGTGATCACCGTGAAGATCCCGAAGGACCGCGATGGACGGCCCAAGCAGTTCGCCTTCGTCAACTTCAAGCACGAGGAGTCGGTGCCGTACGGGCTGCGGCTGCTCAACGGGATCAAGCTGTACGGGCGGCCCATGCGCATCCAGTTCCGATCAGGTACCGGGGGCTCCGGGAGCTGCTGGCCGCTGCCCCGGCCTGCAGCACAGCCCTGGTCACTCGGGTGAGCTGCAGCAGCCTCTCACCAGGCTGTGCCTCGTCTGCCAGCTCTGCTCCCCTCACACCCTCCTGTCCCGGTGCTTCCACCGGGCCCCTCTGTCCCTCATGGCCGGTGCGACCCCTTGGCCGAGCCTTCTCTGTGAGTTTTTGTTGGCTATTCCTGCAGCGCCTCTAAGATCCGTCCTAAATTATCACAGCAGCATTAAAAATTGCATCTGGTAGTGGTTAAATGAGGCACATTGGCTGCAGTGTCTCTGCCCTTTGTGGTGGGAATTAAGGCAGTTGCAGTGCTGTGTTTTGGTAAGTGGACCATGTGCTTTTGCAGATCCCTGAAACTTGAGAGCCAGTTCAAAATTTCCTGCAAGACCACTTCACGCCCGCTCTCCTTAGCTGCTGTCTGCGTGTGTCCTGAAACACTTGTCTCTCCCCAGGGAGCAGCCACGCCGCCCAGGAGATCAATCCGTCCTGTTCCCCGCTGGGAGCTCCTGGCGCCAGCCTTCCTGGCATGCCTCACCCAGCCTCCAACTGCAGCAGGTATGAGCGTGGCCAGCTGCCATTGCAGGGTCACCGTGCTCCTGCCCGCTCCCGAGCGCTCCTGGGTGTTTCCTTGGGTGGAGGGAGCACCTTGGGGTGCAGCAGGGGTGTGTTCAGGGCTGACCCTCGCGCTGTGTTTGCCCTGCAGGTATGACAGGGTTCCAGACGGCGCGCCGGGCTTCCCGTCGAGCCTGCAGAGACAAGCGGTGGTAGGTGCCCACCCTGGGGCGCTGCGGCAGTGCCCAGGGGACAGCTCCAGAGGATTTGAACCTCCTGGAGCACAGGGGGCAGCTGGGGGGGCTCTGGGTGACGTAAAGCTGGGTTTGGTTCAGAGTGGCCGAGCCGACCCCGTTTGCCTTGCAGATGAACAGCGCGGCCCGGCAGCAGCCCCAGTTCGGGGGCAAATACGAGCCCGGCTTTGCCCCTCCCGGCTACGCGCACCCGTTCCACGCCGGGCCGGGCTCGCTTCGAGTGCGGCGCCGAGTACGGCCGCGGCAAGAGGGACGAGTACGGCTTCGAGGAGAGGGGCCACGAGGCCGAGCACCACTACCGCGGCCGCGAGGAGCACCACGAGGAGCGGCACCGCGACGGCTGGAGCTACGAGTACCGCAGGGACAGCTACAGGGAGCCCAAGTGGCACTCGGCGCGGCACTGACGGACTCGAGGGCACGGCCAACCGCGCCTCTTTCTCACCGAGTACTTGTATAAACCCCCCTCCCAAAAAACACCCCCAGTGAAGGCACCTTTTAGTGTTTGTAAAAAAATACCAGCAGTGCAGTCCTGCCAAACTCTGGTCTCAGTATTAAATGTGTTGGCGCACGCTCCAGGGCTTTTCACGGGGCGAGGAAGCCGTGGTGAAGTCTTGGAGGGGCCACCGCTCTGTCCTCCTGTCACAGATCAGTGCTGGTAGTATTTTTTTAGGAGAAAGGAACGTCTGTGTCAGATGGAAGGGTCGTGTTTTCAGCAGAGTTGAGGTGGGACATGCTGCCCGGCATCTGTAGCATTCCTCATGTTGTTTTATACAGTCACATAATCACACATTGGTCTGGGGTGTAGGTACCTCACTCCACCCCCTGCCAGAGGCAGGGACCCCTTCCACCAGACCAGGCTGCTCAGAGCCCCATCCAGCCCGGCCTTGAACGCTTTTACTGATGGAACATCCACAATTTCCATGGGTAACTTGTTACAGTGCCTAAGCACCTTCACAGTAAAGAATTTTTTCCTAATATGTAATCCCAACCTTCTTTCTTTCAATATGAACCCATTCCCTGTTGTTCATTTAAAATATTACAGTACTGTCTTGGAGAACATTAAAAGTGTCGCTGGGGACAGCCCCTGGGCGCACCTCCGCCTTTGAGGCCGGGCGGCGGAGCTGCTCCGTGCCGCCGCTGACGGAGGCGCGCCCCCGGCTACCGCGGACTACATCTCCCAGCAGCCCCTGCGGCGCCACCACCCCCAATGGAGCGTGGGCGGCGGCGCGGGGCTCGCCGGGAGCTGTAGTGCGGCGGCGATGCTGGGCGGCGGCCGCGCCGGCCTGGGCCGCCTGCGGAGCTGCTCCGGGCGGTTGTGGCGGGGCCGCTGGAGGTGCGGGGCGGCGGGGGGCGCGGGGAGGGAGCGGGCGGGACGGGGGGCGCGGGGCCCGGGGCGCGCTGACGCTGCCGCTCGCCCCGGGCAGATGACGGGCCTGGACGTGGAGAAGGACCAGATCCTGGAGATGGCGTGTCTGATCACCGACTGCGACCTCAACGTGCTGGCCGAGGTGAGCCGCGCGGGACCCCGCGGGCATGTGGAGCAGAGTCACGGCGGTGCCGGCTCCGGGCCCCGCCGCTCCGGGCTCCGGGCCCCGCCGCTCCCGGCTCCGGGCCCCGCCGCTCCGCACCGGCAGCGGGGCCTGCGTCACCCCGCACCGTGTGCCCCCGGGCCGGCCCTGCTCCCTGCTCGGCCCGGCGCCCAACTTTTATGTGCTTCTGAACTTTTCTCCCCCGTTCCCTTTGTGTTTCCCCGTCCCCGACAGGGTCCGAACCTGATTATCAACCAGCCCGACGAGCTGCTGGAGAGCATGTCCGAGTGGTGCAAGGAGCACCACGGCAAGGTAAAACCCCACTGTGGGGTGACGTGTAGATTGAGTGATGAGCTGCAGGACGTGTAATCCTGAAATCCTGAGTGATCGGCTGCAGGACTAATTCTGAGTGATCAGCTACAGACTGTAAATCTGAGTGATCAGCTGTAGTACGTATAATTCTGAGTGATCAGCTGCAGGACTGTAGTTCTGAGTGACAGTTTGCAGTACAACCTGAGCAGGAACAAATCCTGTGCTGAGCAGTTTGCAGCCACACAGAGGGGTTCAAAGACAGGAGACAGTATCTGTCTGATTTTGTACTGAGGAGCCTCAGTGCAATGCTTTGCCCAAGGTGTCACAGGCCATCTGTGGCACAGCTCAGAGTGCACTCAGGGATCTTTAGCCTTCAGCTTCCAGCTTGCCTGAAGCAGCCCGTGCTTTGCAGCCTGGTTTCTGATGAGTTGGAGGAGTGCTGGAAGCTGCTTCCTGGTTTCGGAGCAGGAGGCATCAGCACAGCAGCAGCAGTGGGACTCCCCTGGGAGGGCTGAGCAGGCAGATGGGCCAGAATGGGATCTATTGTGCCACTGGTTCTCATCTCCCAAGGCAGGGCTCAGCCTCCTCTCTCCCAGTGGGAGGCTGGGAACTGGGGTTTGGTTCCTTTGTCCTCTCACAGAGCTGCTGGTGACCTCCTGCCTCTGTGGGAGCCCTGCTGTAGGCTGGGCTGGGTTCAGATTCTGACAGCTCCTCCTGCTGAAGTCTTGCATAAAATAATTCAGAATAATTCCAGTGGGGAAGGGCAAGGAGAAGCTGGAATGCCTGAGTAAGAACAGGTGCAGGATCGGTGCAGAACAGTCCAGAGCCAGTCAAAGGCAGATTTCTTCCTGTGGACTCTGGTGCATGTGGGATTAAACAGGCCTGTAAACACTGGGGTTTTGCCTCTTCCCTCAGTGCTGTAAGCCTTGTGGATTTTTTCACTGAAAACTTCGCTTTTGCAGCAGGAGATTATTTTTAGTTCTTTGGGCCACCAAAGAAAGGTTCCTCCTTGCCAGCAGCAAGAGAGCAAATGGATTTTGCAGTCTGTGATGATGAATTGAAATTCAAGTTAGTTTTCAATTAAGGGCTGAAGTTTTAAGACATCCATAACCCCCCCTCCTTCCCCTTCAGCATCTTGCTCTCCCTGGGAAGAATTAGCAAGAGTTTGGGAGATGAATATTAATTTACTGTGATGGGTGCTTCTCCCTGCCCCAGTCGAGGATTCCAGCTCAGCTTCAGCTCGGGAGAGAATTGGAGATGGTAGCATGCGTCCTTGCTACTCCTGAGGAGCTACTTATTTTTAATTGACTAAGAGAAGAGAAGCAATTAGAATATAGATGAAAATGCTGCCACATAATGAATTTTTTAACCACCACTTGGATCTGTCAAGTAGATTTTTGCTGCACAGTCGTGGAAATATATAGCGTAGCCAGATGGAAATAAATCACTGAGAACACTTGGAGAGGATTTGACATTTAGCTATTGAAAAAAAAAAAAGGGGGAGGAGCTTTCCTGATTTATAGGAATCTTGATAAAGCCTGAAGGCAGGATCCTGTTTATTTGTGTTCACTGGTAGCTGCTGCTCCCTGCTGGGGAGGTGAGTGCCTCTCCTGGATCAGGGATATGAAGGGATGCAGCGCTCTCCTGGCTCAAGGATGTGCAGGTGGATAAACAACGCCTCACATCTTGGTAACTGAAAAGAACTCTGAGCAAAGAAATCAGAAACAGGCAAGGAGAAAGTCCCAAACCACACAGGAAGGTCAGTGCTGTCAGGACTATTTACCTGCCTTGGTTTTCCTTCCCAGACAGGAGGTCCCTGGGGAGAGTAGAGGCTGGGCGTGCCCCAGAGAACTGAGACTCAGAGCTCAGGAGGCACCTGGGGAACAAGCAGCGCTCCAAGGGCTGACCTTCCACTGCAGAGTTAAACATTTACTAGAGATCTGGAGCGTTCCTGGCAGTGTCTGTGGCAGGCCGTTGCTGATTTATGACTTGGCTCTTTTTTGCAGTCTGGCCTTACCAAGGCTGTGAAGGAGAGTAAAATCTCGCTGCAGCAGGCAGAGTACGAGTTCCTGTCCTTCGTGCGGCAGCAGACACCCCCAGGGCTCTGTCCTCTCGCAGGTGAGGCACCTTCTGTCTGCACCTCAACACATCCCCCTCCATCCTGCATCCAGGGCATGCCAGCACCCCCTGGCACACGGCAGGGATGCCTTCCCGTTCTGTGCTCTGCCTTTTCCTGCCTGGCTGTCCAACCAAAGGCCAAATGAGGATCTTCCAGGTGTCCCGTTACCCAGAACTGCTTTCAGAATTTCATATGTGGTCTTGGCACTGGTGCTGAGTGAAATGAACACCAATGGCCACTTTCACTTGGCGAAAAACCCGATGCTGGCATAATTCTGTGATATTTATCTGTGTGACACAAATTGTGGGAGTAGTAACTGAGGAATTACTAGAGGTATTAGCATTAAACCCCGTGTGATCCTGCAATGAAAATCTGACAAACCTTTACAATCATATTTGCTAGAAAATGGGATAAACGAGCTGCTTGTGAATGGCTTTTCTCCCCCTGTGATCTCTCCCAGCTCGCTCCGCCTGCTGCTCCTTTCCTTGTTGCTCTGTAGCATCTTTGAAGAAACATCTTGTTTGTGTCTTTGTAGGTAACTCTGTTCATGCAGATAAGAAATTCCTTGACAAATACATGCCGCAGTTCATGAGGCACCTTCATTACAGGATCATTGATGTGAGCACTGTCAAGGAGCTTTGCAGGTAAATGTTCCCCCAGGTAATGGTTTGAAGACCCCCCCCGGGATGCCCATTTGTGGTGCTGGGGCTCTGCAGATCAGGCAGGAGCACTCGCAGGGCTGTGGCTTCTCTGGGTGTCACTGAAACCAGGGCTCCTTCACCAGGTGTAACAAACCCACAGCAGCCACCAGACGTGGCTTTGAACCCCAGTTTTCTTTCTAAGTGGCGATTCTTGTGCTCCCAGGCGCTGGTATCCAGAGGAATACGAGTTTGCACCAAAGAAGGCGGCTTCTCACAGGTGAGCTTTGTGCCTCTGTCACTGGCAGAGCAGGGCTTGTCCTGCAGAGAGCTCTGCTCTTCCTCAGCAGGGTATGGGCTCCCTGTGAATTCCAGCATCCTGTGGTGGAGATGGCTTCTGCACCCTGTCAGATGTTTGAGCTCTCCTGTCCAAAGAGACAGGAGAATAGGGAAAGGGATTATGAAAATCCAGAGAACCAGAAGTTTCCTCAGCCCTTCTGATTCACTCTGCTCTTCAAAGTGCATGTTTGTTGACCATGCAAACAGTCACTTAATGGGGGTTATCTGCCCTTTTTTTGGGCAGAGGTGGTCGCAGAAACACAAGAATTGGAGAACTGTGAATGGGGGAGGGAGAGTCCTGCTCCTGCCTGTTTCCCTGGCTTGGAATGTGCCAGAGAGGTAGCAGGGAGGAGCCAGGGAACCCCTGTGGCTCTGCTCTGGTGTGCCCATGCTGGGCAGGAGGGAGGCTCTGGTACACACAGAGGAGGAGGAGGAGGGCTGGCTGTCACAGAGCTCCTGGCTGAAGTCGTGGTTGATGTGGAGGGAGCTGAGCCCTGAGCTGCCCTGGCTGAGCTGGGCAGCTCTCTGGAGCCCTGAGCAGCTCTCTGGAGCCCTAGGTCTTCCCTCGGGTTGGACTGTTTCTGACAGCTCATGCTCTAGACCCTGTTGGTTTCCAGTAGCTGTATCCCAGGCTGACATAAGCTAATAAACCATGAGTTACTCCCTGGCACGTTGGCACCACTGGACTTTTATTGCTTCCCTGAGACAATGAGTGTTATTTTCATGTCTGACAGATGCACCTTCCATGTGCACCAGTTTGGTTTCCTGCAGCCTGGAAGTTTTCAGCGGCATTAGGATGTGGGCATGGCTGGAGATGTACCCAGGCTCTTTGAAACCCTCCTTAATTGTCTTTCAGAGCACTTGATGACATCAGGGAAAGCATCAAAGAACTCCAGTTCTACAGAGACCACATCTTCAAGAGGAAAACGGATGAGAAGAAAAGGAAACTGATTGAGAACGGGGAAAGCGATAAAGCTGCCAGCTGATCTCCCCTCCCGCCCCACCAGCCCCTAGCACACACTAGATGCGTCTCCTGGT